ATACCCTCTGCGAGGGTATAATTAATTAATAATAGATGTCAAGTAAGGAAGGAAGATTTTATAACAATTAATATTATGAACTTAAAAATGGTTTGATATAAGTGAATTAATTTGTAAATTTATTTGTGACTAATGCGCTTAAAATACGTTGAAATGGAAGAAATATACATATATCTTACAATAACTCTACGTTTCGTTTTAGTGCGTTGTTCTCTGCAAATTACAACAAACTTGCAGCAATTCTCACTTTGTTGGCCAACTCATTTGGGGATTTGCTTACAGCGGACATACAGATGCGAAACGCACTGTCCGTGTACTCGCTTATTCATTAACGTTGTCGCCGCAGGAATGGCAGGAAGAAAAGGGTCGGTCGGGAGTAAACTAATCAGAAGCTCATGGCACATTTGGAAAACCCCAAATGGGTGTGTGGGCCAGTGTTAAAACAACACCATGGCATAGAACAAAGCCAGAAATAATTATTTAGGAGTTGAAAACAGGGTGGAAATGCGAAAACAAAGGGGCAAATACAGGAAAGTACAGGAAAATTGCATTTGGCTTTAATTAGAAGTCGAGCTTAGTTTGGAGACTCTGATTCCCGTTCCCGTTTCGGTTCCTGTTCTGAATTTGAGACCAATTTGCACATAGTATTCTAAATGAAGTCAACCCTTTCGAATTTGGAATTTAATTGCCCTTGGCCTTATCAATTAACTGCAGAGCGAAACGTCAAACAACCAAAGAACTTTAATTTTATATTTTTGGAAAGAAAACACGACTGTCAGAATACAAAACAAATTCATTTACACATGTCTGCACTGGGGAAACATTTTGAAAATTAGTATATAAACGTGAGCGAAATAGAAATGAAAAAGAAACTAAGAGATTAATTTCCACATTTATATTCTATAGCTAAGTAAATACAATTTAATTAAACTATTAAATCTAATAATTTCTTTTTACTTAACATACTTATTAATGTTATTTAGAAGAAACCTTCAAATGTATATTTGATTTTTCACTACAATTAAAACTTAAATTTTGAAAGTGAAATAAAGGAATAGTTAAAATTTGTAAAATAAGTAAAATAAAATAAAGTAGATATGTTCGCACCAAAAGACTAAATGCCATCGGGCAGTGTATACATAGCCATGAACACTTGTTTATGTGTGTTCATTTTTGTGTGTGCTTTTGACAATAAACACATTTACAAGTGCGGGGTGTGGTGGGGGAAAACACGCAAAGCAATCATAAAATGTGCTTTTTTGGCTACCTTAATGTGATTGTCACTCACACACACAGAGACGCACACACCGACAGTCGATTAACACCCACACAGTCGAATGGACGACACACACATGTCCGGGCAATATAAAGCATACGCCGCGTATGACAGGCCCAAGTCGAGCCCAACAAAAGCGGTCGCCGCAAAGGTCCGTTTAACTTAACGTTTCCCACGCGAGCCACAATCTATATGTATGAGTGTGGCACACACACAGCCACACCCGCACACACACACACAGTGTCGCATAAAAGTCTCACACCTTGCCAAGTGAATGGAACGAGTGTGCACTCATGTAAAAATTACTCCAAAGTTTGAAAAATTCCTAAAACTCTTGTCTAATTACATTTAAAAATTGTTTTTTTTTTTAATATAATTATAACTTAAGTATCGGTGACATGTTTTTTGTCAAGTATTGTTTACGACTTATATATCATATATACATATTTAATAATATTTTATCAGGATATATATAAGTACAAGTACAAAGTATTGCTTTAAATATATACTTTAGCTTATAAAAAAAACAGTTTAAAAACATAAATATTTATAAGTGATTTTATTTATTTTTAGCGAATTTCTAATATTAGGGTAGATTTTTTTATGAGTGTACTCGGAATTTAGCTTCCACCATCTAGAATCGAGAATCCAGCAGCCATGTGCTGCTCAAATTACTCGACGCCGTCTAACGGCCTTAAGGCTCGTTTAAGATGTTTAGGCCAACCGCAAAATGTGGCCAAAAGTGAGTACACCAGATGGTAATGTCACTGGTGCTGGGTTGTCCCAAAATGGGGTAGGTCAATGCTAGTTAAAGATATTACGAAAGGGTTGGGATAGTCCTAGCTGTTGTGCCTACTTTTGTTTACTAAGTAATAAATAAATTAGATTTGTCATCCCAATAAACAGTGGCCAACTTCTTAAGATAATGCTTTAAGTCTTCCATAAACCATTTATCTAAAAAAACTATTAATTAAAGGGGAAACATTGCAAAACTCATCTGAATCGAGTATCAATATTTAAGTAAAACTTGTAGTACAATAATAGTTGAATAGAAACAGGAATGCGTATTAATATACATAAAACAAAATGTATTTTATATATATTTTTTAAACTACTGCTTAAATTGCTAGAACTTAAAAAAAATAAATATAACTTATTTAGCATTTCTTGTATTGGCTTAGACAAAGTTGCTTTAGTTTAGTTATTTTGTGAATGGCGATGCCATTATTTCCCCATTATGAATTCCATATTAGCCGTTGTTCAATTAAGGCATCACTGATTAAATTGATAATTTATATTTATTTGTTTGTTGTCAACTGACCGAAATTAGTTGCACCTAAACCCTAAAATTGGACGCAATGACGCCGTCCTGGCAGCACAACCATTCGGGATTAGCCAATGCCATTAACATTGTTCGATCCCCAATGTCCCCATACCCCCATTCCCCATTCCCCCTACCCCATTCCCCCCTTACCCCCTACCCTGATACTCCGATTCCCGTGGGACATACAACATTATATATGCTCGCATTATGGTCATTGTGCTGCCCATCGTGTCTCCCTCCTACGACAAAGTCAATTAATGTGCGGGACATTAAATTAATGATATATGCCGATAGCCACGCCCCCCGCCCCCGGTCCAGTCTGACTGGGTCGCTCTGCTAATTAGCTTTCCGGCCAGGACCTTGGCTTTGGTGGCCCCGAAAAAAAAAAGAAAACAAAATAAGAACACACATGTATGGGCGCAAACAGCATGCAGAGTGGATAATGCGGATGGGAAATCTCTTAATTGATTTATTTTCGCTTTGTCTGCGACTTTGGACTACATCTCCATTTCGATCCGGGGCCCGGCAACTATTTTAATGCGCTTAGAACCCAGCGACAGGCATTTTTATGCCCCATGTTATATAGTAATGATAAGCTGATTAGCGCAAGCCTCGCATAATGACATTGGCGACATTTTACAGCTGCCCTCAGTCCTCAGTCCTCAGTCCTCCGCCTACGTCCTTCGTCCTTCGTCCTTCGCATTTCCATCGCCTCCAGCTCGCTTTCATTCCGATTCCAAATCAGATGCAGACTAGTGCCGATCCGAGCCGGGCTAAGCCAACCCCGCGGGCGGATGGCTGTCGCCCCCAGGCGAGGATGCCAATCAGGCTCTGTTTCTGATGCTACTCGCTTTGCTTTGCATGTCAAGCTACACTGCAAGAATTCGGCAGGGACAATGCGAAATCACACTTTAGTACTTCAGGCATTGAAACTATTTACCAAATGGAAAAAGTACACAATCATTATAGCTTATTATTAGGTCTTTCACAAAATTTCAGTCTCAAAAATTTCGCTGGTATAGAATACATTTTTATTCATAAAACAACAAGTTAACAGAAATTTAAATAATATGATATTAGGTATATTTTTCGTAACTTACATTTTTTGATTTCTTCTCTAAACAATGATTTTAATTAGTTAAAATAATTATATATTTTGTTCATGGATTATAACTTTTGACATAATGAATGAATTAAGAAGATAAACAGAACTCGAATGCTTAAGAGGTTATAATAAATGAATGAATGATTTGTAAGACTGGTAAAAAAATGTTTAAGTACATTTAAGTTACTTGGGAAAAATACGGGAACTAATAAGTTTAAAAAAATGCTTTATTTTGGAAGTGTTGTCTGCTGGCCTGCTGTAGTTTTTTCCAGTGTAGTGGTCGGACTTAGTGGAGCGGAGCGGAGAAGCAACAACAATGGAGGCGAACGCTTGACTGAGCCATTGGCCACCCGCCTGGCTGAATGCTGTCGCTCGGCGAGTCCTACTGCCCCCTCTCCCCCATACCCTCTCTTCCTCTCCCCCTCCCCCTTATCCCCCCTGTTCCCTGTCCATGGTCCTGTTGTCCTGACAGCCCTTTGCCCATTTGCTCTTTGCTGGTTGTTGCTGTTGTTGCTGGTGTTGCTGTTGCTGGTGTCGCTGGCATTGACGGCGCATTAACTCATTTCCTGCATCATTAAGGGGCACCTGCAATTTTCGCACATTTACGCCACAGACGTGTCCAGGATGTAGCCAGATACCCATTTCTCCTTAATCAATTTAGTTGCAGGACTCCACTTAAATGCGCTTTGAATGACAGAGGAGCTGGAATGGATCTCGGGCAATTTGAGTCGTAGTTTCTATTAGCTCTTGGCAAATTATTCTTGTAACTATCCTCAAATATAGGCCAAAATATGTTGACTAAAACATACTTATTCGGTCTCCGAATTTACAGTAACATTATGAAAATTGTATAAATAAAATCGTTTAAGTAGTAGAAGCTTAACAAAAAAGTAATAAGAACAATAAACGATTCAATGTAAGCAATATTAGAAATTAACAATATATTACTCATCCGACATGTTGGTTATTCATGGGAATATAAAAGCAGGCGTGGTCAAATCGCCTTGAAACTTTTCTCAGTCCTCAAAAATATAATGGCCATGAAGTTTATCTAAATTTTTCGAGTATCTGGGATGAGTGTAAACATAGTACACAAATAAAGTGTGGCAATCGAGAGCGTTTAATAAACTTGACCACACCGAACGGCCCTGGGCGATTTGAGCTTCAATCGAGAAAGTTTTCAAAACATATCCCCTATACCTCCCCCACTGGCCACTCCCATGCCCACATTTGATGACCCACTTTCACATCGTTTATCCATTGTTTGAGACCTTATCCGCATTTCCACTCCGCAGGCAGCACAGCGAATCCGGATGCGAAGCGATTGTACGACGATTTGCTGAGCAACTACAACAAACTGGTCCGCCCGGTGGTCAATGTGACGGACGCCCTCACCGTGCGCATCAAGCTGAAGCTGTCGCAACTGATCGATGTCAACCTGAAGAACCAGATCATGACCACCAACCTGTGGGTGGAGCAGTCCTGGTACGACTACAAGCTCAAGTGGGAGCCCAAGGAGTACGGCGGCGTCGAGATGCTCCACGTCCCCTCCGATCACATCTGGCGTCCGGATATCGTCCTCTATAACAAGTGAGTCCCGATCGAATAGAATCGCTCAAATTTGCCATCGATTAATCGTAGATTAAAGGACATGTCTGTCTGTCTGTATAAACGTCGAGATCTCGAAAACCATCGAACTCGATTTGGGATACTTTATATGTAATACATATGGCCCAGTCCGAATTAGTGGAGTTCTGTAGAAACATGGTCGAAAAAAGTTCTTCGACAGTATTTAAATATGTTATTATCATTGATTTGGAATATTTTATATATAATAAATTTGGCCTAGTCCGTTAGAGTGTGGTTCCTTAGTGACATGGTCGAAAAAAGTTATTGGGCACTATTTAATTATTTGATTTAAATTTATTAACACACAAAAAATTTTACCACACCAAATTTTTTTTTTATGTCATTAAGAAATTGAATTTAACATAGTCAATGGCTTATTATCTATATACATTATTTAATTTTTATTACAGTTATATATATATGAAAATGTAATCAATTAATAAGGGCTTTTAAATTGAAATTCAATAAAGAATTCAAGTGAGCTTCAATGAGCCCTCAGTTCGGAAAATATTTGTATTATTATAATTTAAGAATATAAAGTGGATTTAAGCTTAATTTTTTGTATCCGATATTAATTTGTGTCCATGCTGAAAACCAAGTAGAAAAGCCTTTCGGGGCAACTTTTATGGCAAAAGAGTTACCTGATGTCCTTGCAATTTATAAGTGATTGAATTATGAATCTTGTGAAGTACCAACCCCATTTTATACTGATTAATTTTCCAGCGCCGACGGCAACTTCGAGGTGACGCTGGCCACCAAGGCCACGCTGAATTACACGGGACGCGTCGAGTGGCGACCGCCGGCCATTTACAAGAGCTCCTGCGAGATCGACGTGGAGTACTTCCCCTTCGACGAGCAGACCTGCGTCATGAAGTTCGGCAGCTGGACCTACGACGGCTTTCAGGTGGGTCCAAAATATGTTATCTGTAATTTTACAAGACGCTAAAAAATAGTTTTAAGGCACACTTACTGTTTATCCAACGGTTTTTAGTTAACTTAATTTTAATCAAATAAATAATTGAGTTTGTCTCAGGCCAAATTTACGTTAAATTTTTCGAATTCTTGAATTATTTTACTTTATTGTATATAAAATATAGTCCCCAATTGTATTTTAACTATAGTAATGAAAATACAATTCTAGAGGGGTGACACAGAAATCACATACATTTTAAAATCACTTTAAAAAGCGTCTAAAAGTATGCAGTGAAAAACTTAACTTTGTCCTTTGAAACTATTCCAACGGACTTCTGAATTTGAAATATATTCTTCCATTCTTTAACACAACTTTAAAATTTATTGTAAGACACCCCTATGAAAAACAGAAACAGTAGTTTCTTATAATTAAAACAAAGTTTAGATAATTTGAAAGAACCACATTTGACCAAATATATATAGCTTACCAATTTTCTGCACAACAAAAACTCATTTCATTTCTAAGACCAGAATACAATGGGATTGCCGGTAAACAAGATTTCAATTTACCATTTGGAAACAAATCTTTGATGTCCCTTTTATGTGGACCGCAAATTTGGCTGGCGGCTCCTTGAAAACTTGTCCCCCGCTTCTCCGCTTCCCCGCATCCCCGCGGCCCACACGTGATCCAATTTAAACCACACAAATGAAAGTTTCTCGGCCGTCTGGCCTTTGGCTAATTGGTTTATAAATCTGTGGCAAGTGTTCGAGTCGGAGCAGGACAAACTGTACATCAGGCAGATATGTTGTTGCCATTAAAGGATGTGCCAGTGGCCCAAAACTCCTTATCTCAGCCCCGTTCCCCCTTTCCCCTTTCCCCTTTCCCCTTTCCCCCCCCCCTCCCCCGCCACTCCCCAGTGACTATCTCATTTACACATTTACAAATTGCTCACCTGGCGCTCCGTTTGGGTGTCTCTGAGCCCGGTTTAGTGGTCATAAACCGAAATACGGTCATAATTCCTTTTTGGAATACTGGCATGGAATTTCTCACGTTTTATGGCCACAAAACACACGGCAACAAAGAAGGAGAGTCGGCAGGCAAATGGTTTTGGAATAGACAGAGGGACAGACAGTCGGCCACAGGGAGGCTTCATAAAAACGTCTCCAGTGGTTTTGGCCAGTGGGCCAGGACCCGGAATTCGGGGCAGAGGACCCGGGACACAGGACACAGGACACAGGACGCAGGACACTGGGGCAGCCTGACACCTGGCCGACAAATGTCGACGACTAGCGGTTGGATGGGCGCGTAACCTCGTAAAATACCCTGCACCGCACTCAAATTCTCAACTGCAAACATGCACCCGAAGAAATACGAAATTCAGTTTAAGAACTCATTATACCCTTGCAGAGGGTATTATAATTTTGGTCAAAAGTGTGCAACGCAGTGAAGGAGACATCTCCGACCCTATAAAGTATATATATTCTTGATCAGGATCACCTCCTGAGTTGATATAGCCATGTCCGTCTGTCCGTCTGTCCGTCTGTCCGTCTGTCCGTCTGTCCGTCTGTCCGTCTGTCCGTCTGTCCGTCTGTCCGTCTGTCTGTTTCTACGCAAACTAGTCTCTCAGTTTTAAAGCTATCGAGTTGAAACTTTGCACACACCCTTCTTTCCTTTGCACGCAGTATATATGTCGGAACGGCCGGGATCGGCCGACTATATCCTATAGCTGCCATATAACTGATTGATCGGAAATGCCATAACTTTGGTGTTTGTAAAGTTAGGAAGTTGAAATTTTCTATGGGTTTTATATTTGGCCAATCAATCCGACCTACCAAATTTCATAAGGATCGGCCGACTATATCCTATAGCTGCCATATAACTGATTGATCGGAAATGCCATAACTTTGGTGTTTGTAAAGTTAGGAAGTTGAAATTTTCTATGGGTTTTATATTTGGCCAATCAATCCGACCTACCAAATTTCATAAGGATCGGCCGACTATATCCTATAGCTGCCATATAACTGATTGATCGGAAATGCCATAACTTTGGTGTTTGTAAAGTTAGGAAGCTGGGATTTACTATGGGTTTTATATTTGGCCAATCAATCCGACCTACCAAATTTCATAAGGATCGGCCGACTATATCCTATAGCTGCCATATAACTGAACGATCGGAAATGCCATAACTTTGGTGTTTGTAAAGTTAGGAAGCTGGGATTTCCTATGGGTTTTATATTTGGCCAATAAATCCGATCTACCATATTTCATAAGGATCGGCCGACTATATCCTATAGCTGTCATATAACTGATTGATCGGAAATGCCATAACTTTGGTGTTTGTAAAGTTAGGAAGTTGAAATTTTCTATGGGTTTTATATTTGGCCAATCAATCCGACCTACCAAATTTCATAAGGATCGGCCGACTATATCCTATAGCTGCCATATAACTGATTGATCGGAAATGCCATAACTTTGGTGTTTGTAAAGTTAGGAAGTTGAAATTTTCTATGGGTTTTATATTTGGCCAATCAATCCGACCTACCAAATTTCATAAGGATCGGCCGACTATATCCTATAGCTGCCATATAACTGATTGATCGGAAATGCCATAACTTTGGTGTTTGTAAAGTTAGGAAGCTGGGATTTACTATGGGTTTTATATTTGGCCAATCAATCCGACCTACCAAATTTCATAAGGATCGGCCGACTATATCCTATAGCTGCCATATAACTGAACGATCGGAAATGCCATAACTTTGGTGTTTGTAAAGTTAGGAAGCTGGGATTTCCTATGGGTTTTATATTTGGCCAATAAATCCGATCTACCATATTTCATAAGGATCGGCCGACTATATCCTATAGCTGTCATATAACTGATTGATCGGAAATGCCATAACTTTGGTGTTTGTAAAGTTAGGAAGTTGAAATTTTCTATGGGTTTTATATTTGGCCAATCAATCCGACCTACCAAATTTCATAAGGATCGGCTGACTATATCCTATAGCTGCCATATAACTGATTGATCGGAAATGCCATAACTTTGGTGTTTGTAAAGTTAGGAAGTTGAAATTTTCTATGGGTTTTATATTTGGCCAATCAATCCGACCTACCAAATTTCATAAGGATCGGCCGACTATATCCTATAGCTGCCATATAACTGATTGATCGGAAATGCCATAACTTTGGTGTTTGTAAAGTTAGGAAGCTGGGATTTACTATGGGTTTTATATTTGGCCAATCAATCCGACCTACCAAATTTCATAAGGATCGGCCGACTATATCCTATAGCTGCCATATAACTGAACGATCGGAAATGCCATAACTTTGGTGTTTGTAAAGTTAGGAAGCTGGGATTTCCTATGGGTTTTATATTTGGCCAATCAATCCGATCTACCATATTTCATAAGGATCGGCCGACTATATCCTATAGCTGTCATATAACTGAACGATTGGAAATGCCATAACTTTGGTGTTTTTAAAGTTAGGAAGTTGGGATTTTTTATGAGTATTAAGAATGCATCATATCAATAATTTTGGAGAATATAATTTACAGAGTATTCTGCAAGGGTATATAAACTTCGGCTCCGCCCGAAGTTAGCTTTCCTTTCTTGTTTTACCATCGCATTATGTGCTTACTGCCCTGACATTCTTATAAAGAAATAACAATAAAATCCCTTTATTTACTGAGTGTTAAAATCATATTCCCACTAACACTTTCACCTGATAAATGGTTTATATTTTGATAATAAATATGGCTGAATAGACAGATAATTTGTTAAACCCTGAAATTATTTTCCCAAAGGCAAAATGTTTTCCTTTAAAGTCCATTTTAAGTACAATTTCTTTGAGTGGATGGACAGAAACGAATGGAGAACGCCGATGGATGCTCTGTGGCTTCGTCCTGCGGTTGGATCCTTGCCAGCTAATAATGAACCGGTATTAGGTGGACCCCTAAGCCAGCTTTCTCCATTCCCTTCCCCTTCCCTCCCCTTAGGCCTCCATTCAGGCGGAAAAAAGGCAGAGACGGGTTAACCACATGCATCTACTAAGCTGCATTAGCCAGGTCATAAAATCGCCGACCAGGTCGCGCTTGAGTTGAAAAAATGTACTGCTTCCGATAGCGGAATTAAGCCAGAAATGGGCTTAGGTCTTTTCAGGATGTCTTACCAAAGTTTATATATACTATATTTAAGTAGGATGAAAGAGTTGATTTTATAATTATAAATACACATTTTAATGTATCTACTTTGCCAAATAGAAGATTTATAATCGGGGTAAAATTAAACTAGTTTAAAACTTATCACATAAGTTGGCTATCTAATATTAAATTAGGCACCTTATAACTTTGTGTGAATAATGTATTCTCTTGCCGTTGGATATTGTTTCGAAGAATATCGAGAACTTAAAGGCCTACTGAAATTCAAGTATTTCGTTTCAATCACTCAATTAGCAGAGCAGATAAAGTCATTTATCTAAGGCAGACTTGACTGGCTGCCTTATTCAAAATGTCGACACAATTAGCAAAATTGTATGTACTTTCTCTTGCCTGTTCCGTCTCTTTCTGGCCAACACATGTGCAATTACACCTCCACACCTCCACACAGACACACACACACACGCAGACAGTTGACTAATTTGGTAAAAAGCTAAATGCTCATTTACTATTAAAAAGGCAAGGCGCTAACAAGCATTTGACACGAAGCGAATTGAGGGGCGGGGAAGTGAAGAGCGAGGCGGGGCAACATTGTCTTAAATGCACAGGTGTGGGTGTCACATACACCGAGAGAAATCAGGAATTGGAGTTGAGTTATCAGGAGATGTAAATTAAATTTACTTTAATTTTCGTTTTGAGTTTAATTGTTTAAATTAACAATTTCTATATTATTATTCAGCATTTAATTTTTCGTATTAGGTAGATTTCAAATAGCAACATTTTTATTTTATAAAATAAAAATAATGTAATATAGAAATACAATGATTTAAACAATTCGATATTATCCCCAACAAAATCCATCAAATGTATTTTAAGAAGTAAATTTTAGTCATTAAAAGGAACACATTTATATCAATGTTTACAAAGCTGTTACAAAGCTTCATTTGCTGACGTATTTTATTTGAGTGTCATCATATTTTGTGGTGCGAATTGTGGCGTGTTGTGCTCAACTTTACGCATAAATCAACCGCAAAATGGGCAATATCCTACATAGTAGCAGTGAATTATTAATGTAGTCTCCGAGGGACTGGCCTCCACTCTCAGTTTTAGTTCCTCGTCGCCTGCCGGTGGCATCACTCCGCTCGACAGCGGAAATATTTCATTAAATCATCACTTCCTTGTAGTTAAATTTCCGCTACCACTTAAAATAACAATTTCCGCATCGGCAATTCCAGGCGCCAGGATTCCATTGCACCTGGCGAGGTCCTGGGGAAGCCACATCCTGTCTGATTATTTTCCCTTTGCCCAACTTGCGCCACAGCTGCATCTTCGCAGCCTGTTTTTCATTCATGTTCAGCCAGCGTCGATTTCCTAATTTCGTGTCAATGAGAAAAACTTGGGGGCAAAGTGGTGAGAAGCGGGTAGGATCGAGGAAAGGGGGGAAAATTGTGGAGTCTGAACGGAGCGAACAAAAGGCAAGGGCAAGTTCATAGGCTCAATTTTCACACTTGATTTTGCACGGGATACGAACACACACAGTTTCCAGCAATCTCGACAAAAAGAGAGAATAAAGCGGAAGGAACACGTATAAAATGTAAGAATAAAGTTCCAACTTTGCTAAAATTGTTAACAGGAACACATTTTTTGAAAATTACACATTAAAAAAAAGAGTTTTTTATTTAAACCATTTACCATAACGATTTGATTTCTCAAAGTACCAATAAAGCAAGACTATTAACTCTTTGTTAAATGTACAAGGTATTTAAAATTATTTATCAGAATTTTTAGCAAATTTATACATTATTAAACAAGTCCTTTCCGAACATATAATATGTATTGTCAATTTTTATAAATTAAAAAAAGAGGAAGGTAATTGTTTTATGCAATCTTTATGAGTATTTTTTCAAGTGCAGCTAACCAGAAGGGCAGAACTAAGCAGAGAGAGACAGAGTGAACATGGAAACGAGAAATCGTATTAGCGTCACTTTTCAAATTTCACGCTTTCCCAAAAATGCCACCTGCAGTCGCCCCCTTTCACCTTTGACCCCTCGTCGTGGGCGCCATTGAAAGCCATTGAGGCGTAAGTTGGCAGACAAAATGCTTTAGGAAATTCAGACGAAGAAAGGAAGGAATTAAAAATTGCTGATGGGATGAATGCACTTCCGGGTTAATATTCAAACAGCAAGTGCACATAGAAAAGCTGAGCAAGCTGGGGAAAAACTAGATATTGCAGTTGTGAAAAGGCTTTGGGAAACAAGAAGGGAGAACAGGAATTGAAATTGAGTGGGAAAGCGTTAAGAGTTCATTTCCAAATACTTTTCCCCGGCACTTTTGAAGGATTTATGCATAACAAATAATATTGCTATGATAAATTTAGCTCAGACGAGAAACTTTCAAGACACTTCTTTCCACGATGTAATAAAATATTACAATATTATAAAACAGAAAATTAATTGTTAAAAATTCTACAAAAAAATTAATGTTTAACTTCATAAGTTGATATATTGCATTCACTTCGAATAACCAAATGCTCAGCATCAAAAATTTCTAATTTAATCGATTTTTTCAATATTTTTTTAAAAGAAATTTGATCAAATTTGTTATTCAAGAATACCTTGATTTTTGGCTCTTACAAAGAATTCATCGTTGGAAACGTCGAAAATTGAATATTAAAATTTGTTACAATTTTCAATGCATTCATATCAATCATAGATTCAATTTGTTAAATCCTGGAACAGACTTGCCAGGAATCCAATGAAAATCCAGCCGAAAATTAAAAGCCAAAAATCAAGTGCGATAGATAGTTGCAATCGCATGTCAAATACTTTATCCACAACTGTTCGACCTCGGACATTCGCATTTGCTAGTAGATAAAGGCGAAGTGGAAGTGGAAGTCGAAGGAATGCTGCCACCGGCGCACCTATTTGTGGGTCAGGTGGTGTCCTGTGGCAGGTTCTACGTCCTACGTCCTGCATCCTGCATCCATGTCCATGTCCATGTCCATGTCCTGTCAGCTGCACTCGTGCCGAACTAAGCAAAACTGAACACTGAAATTGAAGTGCGGCCTTCGCATGTTTGTCCATTTCGGCACCGATGCAGCCAACACTTCTCCACCTGGCCACCCGCTCTGCTCCGGATAATCGAATCCTTGGATCCCTTTCTGCGTCAGCCAGGCTCCCAGCTTCGAGGATGCTGCCACTGACTTTGACAATCAAATTGGAATGGCAGTCCAGGACGAATCAGGACTAGTCAGGATAGTCGGGATGCCTGGATGCCTGGATGCCTGAATGCTGGGAGTAAGAGCAGTCGAGGGCCAAAACAGAGACATCTGGCGAAGAGAGCTCAGTCCAATTATGTTCTCTGTCAGCACATCGCAGTATTTGTCTAATCACTGGCAACTGGGAGAAAACTCAAGCTGAGAATTATCCAAACCCTAAACTTCTGCCACCTTTTCACCCAAAAATTCCATTCAGTTTGAAATTCCCTAAATATCTTATACCAAAAATTGTAAATCTGTTTGACTCTATTACATAAAAATGTTATTTGAAGTTTTAAATTTTTTGGGTTTAAAGACTAAAAGGAGACAATTATGTACGGTCTTGAAAAGGTGAAAATATACATTTTATTCCGAAAATGTAGTGTACAATTTTAACTTCTAACTTGTTAACTAACTTTCATTACTACTTTGCCTGAAACTTATATTATGCATATTATATGTTCTCCTTTAACTTCATAAGATGTCTCAAGGCAGTTTAAAACAACAAAAAAGGCAAGGAATTATTTAAGTTGAGGGTGGTCACTTGCATAATTATTTATGAGTTCCCAAACTTGTCATGCCTTGAATTATTTAGGCAAACACATAAATAAATAAAATGCTTCTAAGACAGCGTTTAAAAAAGAATAAAATTGATTTGGTACCTCTTCCAATGTTTAAATGGTAATAAAGAAGAAACCACTGATTTTTAATTTATTAAGACCTGTAAATATTTCTAATGCTGTGTATTTTCAAGAAAAACAAGATTTTTGCGCAGTGCACGAGTAGCTGGAAACTAACCACTTTGCGTCCACTTTCAGGTGGATCTGCGGCACATCGACGAGCTGAACGGCACCAACGTCGTGGAGGTGGGCGTGGATCTGTCCGAGTTCTACACGTCCGTCGAATGGGATATCCTCGAAGTTCCTGCAGTGCGGTAAGTGCCAGCCAGCCACCCAATTGAAACTATAAACCCCCCACACCCCCCCCATGACCAGGGTAGCCACCCATCCAATGGCCACCCACCAAGACAGCGGCAACAACAATTATTTTTGGCAGAAACTCCTTTGGCAAGTTCCTTGGAAGCTTTGGACTTGGACGCTGTCACAAAACACAAACACAAATCTTTCAGGATGTCAGAACGCACACACACACATACATAGGTCAAGGATGCAACTGAGAGAGACAGATATATGCCGGTAGAAAGAGTCGGCGTATGACCAGAGTTGTCGATGCTGATGATGATCTTTGGGCGTGGGCGTGACTGAGAGTGTGAGTGTGGACCCGGTGCCTATTTACACTTTACACCTCCCTTCTTCACCCCCCAGCCCCCCCACTCCGCACCCATTTTTCCCTTGAAGTTTTTAAATTAAAAAACTTTGGCAAAAGTAACTGCCAAAGGAAAAAAACAAAACAAAATTATACATATAAATAAATAGAAGGCCTGGCTTCTTATGTTTCTTTCTTCTGCCCGTCTGGTCAGGCATATGTGTGCGTACAGCAGCGGTCAGATTAATAGTTTTGAATAAGTGGGAAAGGCTGGCACCTTAAAAAAAATATACTCCAATAAATTATATAATTTTTCGATATAACAATGACTTTTAAAATATTGTCTAAGTCAAAGACATTGATAAATATTTAAATTATAATACAAATCGGTGATAAAGTTTAATAAAAAAGCCCAATAAAGTTTGTAATTTTTATATATTTATGAATTAAAAAAGAACTAGATCGCTAAAAGTTAATGGGATGCTTAGGCTCGAGGTTTTCTTGATTAAATATTTAACCAAAAATCCCTGCAGGCTCATGGCTCACCTTTCCTGGGCTTTAAATTTTTTCTAATTGCAAGACAACATTAAAAAAGAAAAAATAGGCTGTAGTGAGCAATTCGCTTCTGCCATCTATTTTTTTGACCCCAACTGTAGACGAATGTGTGACTTTTTCACTGCCTTGGAAAGTAAAAGCTGCCTAAATTTGTTTCCATGGCTCGGAAGGCGGTTGTTTAATTGCCACGCCCCTTCTGGAGCGAGGGGGACGGCACGCTTGTGTGCACACCATAGGAGCGAGCGGGAGGGGCTATATAGGGGGCAGTTGCTCCACCAGAACCTCGTCTTTAATGCATTAAGCCCCAGACAAAAGGCAACAAGAAATTTTTGTTTCACTTAGCGCAACTTTGTTTGGAATCTTGGGATTGTTGGAAGCCGGCAGGTGAGTTTATGGGCGGCCATGGGTTGAAGGGGGTTGAATGGGGGCGTGGCAAAACGGGGTGCTCAGAGCGGGGTGGCAATACTGTTGAGTGCTATTAATTAGTTGATGACACGTGCTAGATGAACTGAGAAAATTCAGTTTGAAAATACTTTTCATCAAGTTAATTTGGTTGCTCGAATTTCTTGGATTTTTACTTTGATCTTGCTTGGTTTTGTCTCGAATTTATATATTTTTCCTCTTATTTACTTCAGCTAACTAATTTAATTATTAGTGGATATATTGCTATTTATTGAATAGCACTTTCTTTAGAAAAATAATAAACTGAATTGGTTTATTTTTTCTTAAATTTTTACCTACTACTTTTACCTACCACTTTTAATGCAATAAAATATTGCCCACAATTTGAAATGTTATGCCTCGTATCATTAAATTTCCCAACTGACTAAAAACTACTAAAAATATTTATTTTTGAAAAGGTTTTCGAACAATCCTGACGTAACCACTTACAAAAAATGGAAAAATTGGACAAAAAAAATGTTTCCATATCCAGCAAGAATCGATAGTTTTGTAAAGCCATTCCTTAGGCGTTGCGTCTTATTTCCAAGTGGTAAAAATATTTTTATTCGCAAAAAAGTCATGATGGTAAAATCAGATCTATTTTTCAGTTTTTTAATCAAAACCCTGGGAATTAGTGGTCGGATGTTATAAAGTCGTACCTCGTTGAATTGAAAAAATCATGATGGTACCTTATGAAAAGTATTTTGCCAGTTTTTTTTTATTTTACTTCAATATTATTACTGTTACTACTATTACTATAACTATTAGCTCACATAAGAAAATGTAAAACGAGGACGGAAGCTAACTTCGGCAAGCCGAAGTTTTAATACCCTTGCAGACTTTGCCGAAATTGCTAAAAGTGAAAAAGTAGTGAAAGGAATAAGGTATACATAAGTAAACTAGATTTGCATCGTTTCAAGTTAATTGCTTTTATACTGCAAAAATGTCATATACAAATAGAAAAAAAGGGATACTTTCGCAGCCTTAAAATTAATTAATTAATTTTTCCTATCTCCTTTAAGATATAGACTTCCGAGCGGCAAGCGCTTTTACCCTAATCAAGATATGCGTAAATAAATAAGAATTGGAAAAATTTATGATAGTAGCTTACACACTTCGCGAAATATTCTGATAATCATCAAATTTGTACCGATTTCACCCTATTGTTCCTATGGGAGCTATAGGATATAGACGTCCGATCGTCACGCGCTTTTACCCTGATCAAGGTACGCATAAAAAAATACGATTTGGAAAGATTCATGTCAATAGCTTTTACACTGCGCGAAATATCCTAAAAATCATAAAATTTTAACCGATTTTACCCTATTGTTCCTATGGGAGCTATAGGATATAGACGTCCGATCGCCACGCGCTTTTACCCTGATCAAGGTATGCATAAAAAAATACGATTTGTAAAGATTAATGTCAATAGCTTTTACACTGTGCGAAATATCATAAATTCTTGCAAGATATATCCAATTGTTCCTATGGGAGCTATAGGATATAGACGTTCGATCGGGGCGATTTTCAAACTTGATCTGCGTACACATGTTTTAGGACGATTGTGAAAGTTTCAGATCGCTAGCTTTTAAACTGAGCTCGCAAACGGTATTGAAACAGACGGACAGACGGACAGACGGACAGACGGACAGACGGACATGGCTATATCGACTCCCCTATTGATCCTGATCAAGAATATATATACTTTATGGGGTCGGAAACGTCTCCTTCACTGCGTTACAAACTTCTGACCAAAATTATAATACCCTCTGCAAGGGTATAAAAAAAGTTAAATTTTAGATTTCATTTTTTTGTTCTTCTATTTGTCAAATTATTTCTTTGAGATATAGTAGCAAAATGCAGGGAAAAATCGACATATCTTCATTGTTTTTAGTGATATAGGCATAAAATCGAAATGTAGTAGTTTGGTAATAGCTTCAAGGGATATATACCCTTGGTAGCTTAAAGGGCTTTAACCTTATGGTGGAACTGGGGGCCTAAAAATAACAGAGCGTATTTAGGTACTCGTGCAATTTTAGTTGTAAAGAATATTAAATACATTTAACTGGCACCCAAAATCCACCCGTAATTCAAAACTGTACGTATTGACAGTGAATCAAATTTTTAAATATTTTTACTTCTCACTGTATGTCGTGCGTGTGCGTTAGAAAGATCTATTGGAGTATGGGATAAATCAGATAGTTAAGATCTGGGCTTCTTTATATGCAGAGTTAGAAAGTTATCCTGACACAGGGTTTACTTTTAGGATAGACCAAGCGCACTACAATACCACTTAAGTATTTGTAACATTATCTTGGCTAGCGATCACATTTAATTACATAAATTAAAATCATAACCATTCAGTACTAATTATCTGAGAAAAAGTCCATTCAAACAAAGAGTTTTAAATGTGCCAAATTTATTATACTTAATTTATTTTGAATATCCATTTCTTGGTAATTTTGAATGCTCTACAAATCGACAAATTTGCTCTTTAAATCTCTCCCGAATCGGTGGTGGTGTCGGTAGAGTTATCAGTGGAACGATCACCACACACCAGTGTAGCCATCAGTCGGGATATCAGTGCACTCATCAGTGGAGGAGCCGGTGGAGCTATCAGTGGAGCTGCTGTCGGTGGTTCTGGTAGGCAAACTATTCTCCACGATGGGGAAGAAAGGTTTACGGCTACGTGGGATATGTGGGAAAGGATTCCATCTAAAGTGGTCAAGATCATCATCATCATCATCAGCACCGCCAGGACCACCAGGACCACCAAGACCGCCAATACGGACATCGTCTACGGCATCCTCAATTGGTTCGAAAACAATGTCTACGACTTCGTCAGCTACTCCTTTAACCAATTTAAGGCCATTTGACAATGAACCGCCGCGTCCTCCGCGTCCTCTGCGTCCTCCGCCACTTCCTTGGGCCACGCCCACTGCCACAAGGCCCAGAAGGGTAATTGCAATGTAGGCACGCATTCTCAGACTTTGGCTCCAATCGAAACTGATGTCGATTCAGTCTACGCCAAGCCCCTTTTATACCCAAAAACTCAAAACATCACCAAAATGCAGCCAAATCCCACCCGAGAATCCCCGTGACATCAGCTTCATCTGTGTGCTTAGCTGGAATCTCCGAAGAATGGAGAATCGCTAGATTGGGGCTGTCGAACTCAACCCGAATTGTTCGCCTCTAATTATTCGTTACATGTTGTTTTCATCCATCGTTTGGCAACAGCTGGCCCATGTTTGAATAAAATCTATTGTATCTATCTTAAATGTTTGAGTTTGAAATGACTGTGGGACTAAAGGGGATATTTGCTGACATCTGCGTCTATTTTGAAAATAATTAATAATTTATCTTTATGGAAAAAAAAAAAAAGTTTCCCAAATTTGTTAAATATATAGATTCTACTGCTATTTTCCTGAAATAAACTGGCAATAAAACAGAACATTTTTTATATAATTTTTTTAAGTAAAACAGAACATTTTTTATATCACTTTTTAACGTTCTTAAAATTTAGCAGAAACAAAACTACCAATGAATATGAAACTAATTAGTGGGAATACAAAGCGTTATACCCTTTGTAGAATGTAACCTGCAACAGGGTTGCCGGTTCTTGCAACACGAGCTAATGTTCCAGTTCCACTCCAGTTCCGGTTCATTTATGCT